ATAAAAATATATATAAAAAAACTCCATCCCACGTGGTTTTGTACAGTGACCTGCTGTGCAGGCTTGTAGCCCAGGAGCAATAGGCTAAACCAGTGGTTGGCAAACCACGGCTCGGGAGCCATATGCGGCTCTTTAGCCCCTTGAGTGTGGCTCTTCCACAAAATACCATGTGCGGGTGCACACGTACAGTGCGATTGAAACTATTGTTCTATGCCTCTTGCCCCAAGGCTTAGACTTCAGGTCCTTTCCTTTTAATCCAGGACACTATGGGATCCTAGTTACTATATAAAAATCTGCTTACTATGCAATCACAAATTGGTTACAGTTCTGTAGGTCAGAATCAGGGGAAGTAACTGAGATGCAAGTTCCTGGGCAGAGGAAGTTGCTCTTGGGCAGAGAGGACTATGAGGATGGGCTGGGACGGAGGGTGTGGGACAAGCCATTGCAGAACAAGGTAAACTGGATCAATAGAAAAAGCTCCTTGGCTAGGCCCTGAGTGGGGATGTATGGGGGGAGTGGACCTGGGATGGGGGTGTTGTAGGCGGTGGGAACAACACTGGGTGTTAGACTGATGGGGTCAGATAGGGGCTGGGTTCAGCAACCTCAGTACAGTGGGGACTTGGCTTACGAGTTTAATTCGTTCCGTAACGGAGTTCGTAACTCAAATTACTCGTATGTCAAATCAATTGTGAACGAGTGAGACACGTGATGCTGGGCTGATGTTGTGGCGTTCACTGTGACGTTCGCTGCACCAACTAGCGGTGGGGTATCTGAAGCTGGCTCGTAACCCGAATTTTAGCTCGCAGCTCAAAGCAAAAAATCGGCTGAGAGACGGCTCATATCTTGAAAAACTCGTTAGTCAGGACACTCGTAAGTCAAAGCCCCACTGTACTTGAGTTCTGGCTAGGAAAGAATTCAGAGCCAAGACTCAAATCATAAGAGAACATTTATTGCCCTAACTGGTTTGGCTCAGTGGATAGAGCGTCGGCCTGCGGACTGAAGGGTCCCAGGTTCGATTCCAGTCAAGGGCATGTACCTTGGTTGCAGGCACATCCCCAGTAGAGCATGTGGGTGTGCAGGAGGCAGCTTATCGATGTTTCTAACTCTCTATTCCTCTCCCTTCCTCTCTGTAAAAAAATCAATAAAATATATTTAAAAAAAGAGAACATTTATTTATAAAATCACAGAAGTAGAGTAAGCAACTTGTAGAAGAAATGGGTTTAGGAAACAAGTTATAGAGATAAAGGAAGGGCCCTTGGAGCTTGGGAGTGAGGAAAGTAATGCTAAGTGGAGGAGGGGAAGGAAGAAGGGGTGGGGAATGGAAAGGCGCCAGGATGCTCCCAGGCTGAGAGCACACTGGGTCGGTACGGGCCCTGGCCCCCCATCCTAAGGATTTTAAGGCTGGAGATTTTAGGGGAGGTCCCCGGGTAAGATCTCAATTGAACAATCAACAGCTTTCAGGATGTGTCCTTTCAGGGTTTAGGTCTCCATTGATTGATTGGTCAGTTCCAGGGCAGGGGGGTCATTATTCAATGTAGCTGGTCCTGAGGGCAGCCTTGGTGTCACTTGTCTGGTTTTGCTGCTTTTTTGGGCCTGGAGCTGAAATACAACCGAGGCCTAGAGGTTATCTCTAGAGAGGAAAGGTCAGGGGGTCCAAACCGCATGACCAGCGATATGCTAGGGAAGGAAAGGTCACCCCTCCTACGACTGTCCTTTGCCAGGCCCCTGGGGCTTTCTACTCCGCTGATCTTCTGTACCTAACCCATTGTCTTTGCTCTGCTATGTCTGTCTAACTGCCTACCACAGGGGCAGCCATATGCCTTCAGGAAGGTTGACTTACAAAAAGAGGGGAGGTGATCAGTGTTCTGCTGTCTTTGGGAGCTGGCTAGTAGGCCTGCAGCCCTGCCACTGTCAAATCTGTAATATGTGGGAGAGCTGAGCAGACTGATTCTGAAATGATTGAATGATATGGTGAATTGGAGTAGCCCTTTGTAAGGGGTAGTGGTATGGTTGGTGGATGGTAGATGGGTTCCAATGCAAAAAATTCTTTCTAAACCTCAACTAATGTGATTCTCTGATTCTAAAAGCAGCCGGTAAAAAGCAAGTTAGAATGTAAAGGCCCTCGAACAAGACCTATGCTGGCCACTTGTCCTCTAATTAGTAGGATAATTGGGGCTGGAACCTAGATGCTTCAGTTTTGGTTTGTGCTCTTGCCTCCTACATATCGCTTGCTTCCGAATATGATTTGGTTGAAACCAGTTTCAGAGTTTAGAGGCTGCACGGGTGGAAAATGTTAATCATCACAGTTTCAGATTCTTGGCCGAGTCCAGCTTTCTAAGTCATTAGTTATAAACATATGTTAATCTTTTGGTCATAATAGCACCTTAACGCAAATACAAACTTTTAGACTTTTTTTCTCTCTTCAAAAATTTTATTTTTGCTTATGGGACTAAAATTCTATTGTAGAAAGTAGTTAATAAAGAAGACATATAAAAATGGAATTACATGCAAGATGAAAATAACAGAACATATGGTGGAAACTCTTTAAAATCAAGCTCAGTATTAAATCAGAGACGTCAAGTCTGAAACTGCCAACACCAATCAGTAAATGTTGTGAAAAGATGGGGTAAAGCTATGAATATGATCTGAAACTGGTAGCAAATTAGCTTAGTTAAAATAAGTATGATTTAAAATGTCACTTTCAGTTTTTAAATATAGATAATTTTCTATGAAATTTTATTTGTTTTATAATAAAAGCTTTGCAAGTTTAAAGTAATTAGACCGGTTTTATGCTAAACCAGCTTTACATAATGATTAAAAATAAAGTGTTTATTAGCCACATTTTCCATGCAGCTCATTCTGGGTAGAATCATAATAGAGATCTTTTAAAAAACCAGTTCCTGAGAATAAGCTGTTTTACTAAATAGGCTTCTAATAATTTTGCTAGTTCCATTTATATTTTGATGGAATTCTCCAAGAACAAATTCAGTCATTATTTTCTCCCCGCTTACATTGCTTCCTCATCCTCTTACTTTCTCCCTTCTCTATCACATCTCTCTCCTTCCCTTCTCCCACTCTTTTTCTCCCTCCTCCTCCTCTCTCTTTCTTCACATCCCACACCTATGCCATTCTTCTTCCCCATTTCCATAATTTTTTCATTGCCCCTCCCTGTCTTTTCTTTCCTTTTACTGGCACAAGTGAATTTAAATAAATTATATAAATAAACTAGGGTCCTAATGTCTTAAACAAGCCACATAGCCTTTTAATTGAAAATATACTATAATTTTTATTAGAGATGAAAGTGATCTTAGATACAAATTGTAATATATGTCATAATGGCCCCAGTTCTTCTCTGGAACCACAGTTTTTGCCATGTTACTGTGACCTTCTACTGCCTGAAAAGGGGACATATTTTCCCACACTTTGATTTTGTTTTGATATGTGACTTGCTTTGGCCAACAGAATGAGGTTGAGGTGATGGGATAACAATTCCAAGCCTGGGGCCCAAGAGGCCGCAGGTCTTTCTGTTTTGCCATCTTGTACCTGTCTCCACTGCCATCAGAAAAAAATGCCCAGACTCCTGTGCTGGCCCCAGAAAGAGAATGAGAGACACATGGAGCCAAAACCCCTCAATCTAGTCAAGCCTCTTTCAGCTGACCCCCGGCTGACACACGAATTCATGAGCTAAATGTATGTGATTGTTATGTATCATTCATAGTTGGTAGGTGGTGTGTGTTATACAATGCTATTGTAGCAATAGGAAGCTAATGATACAATGTCTTCCACTTGGAACATGTGAAGACCAAGGCCCAGAGAATTGTAGGTTACAAATTAGTTAATAAGAGCTCCAGATAGCTGGCCCTATCTTTGTCCAATAAACCATGCCTTGCTGTGAAGTGAATTGGCAAACTCCTAAAACTCAATCTATTTTTGCTTAACTTCTATTAATACCTTCTTATAATTTATTTTTTTAATTTGAATCTATCACTTCAGCAATCAGTTGGGTTAACTTGATTATTCAACTTACAATGAAAAGCAGGAAATAGAAGGCAGTATTGTATCATTAAGTCTTGTCAATCCTGCTGTGATGTGCATGTATGTGTGTATGTGTGTGTGTGTGTGTGTGTGAGAGAGAGAGAGAGAGAGAGAGCTAAGAAATCTTATCATAGCTACTACTAATTATTGTAATTAAATTATAGGCCAGGTATTGTGGTAAGTACTTTTTATTCACTATATCATATGGTTTATACCAGGATTAACAAACTATAGCCTGGGGCCAACTCCTGTTTTTGTAAATAAAATTTTATGTAACACAATCATGTTCATTTGTTTACGTACAGTCTGTGCTACTTTTGTGATACAATGGCGGAGTTGAGTAGTTGTGGCAGAGTCTGTAAGGTCTGCAAAGTAAAAAATATTTACTATCTGTCCCTTTACCAAAAAAGCTTGCTAATATCTCGTCTTACAACAGTAGTTTTCAAGTGTGGTCTGTGGGCCCTACGGTTCCTTATGAGGTCGGTGAGGTCAAAATTATTTTCATGGCAATACTAAAATATTCTTGCCTTTTTCACTGTGTTGACATTTGCGCTGATGGTGGATGAGCTTGCTATCACTTTAATATAAGTTTAGGTGATGATGCCACACCTTAATAGTCATTAAAAAAAAACAGTTTTACTTAGGAGTGTGCTGATGAAGCAGCAAAATTAATTGTAGTAAACTTTGACTCATTGAGTGTAGAGCTTTATAGGATTGCAGGTGATGAAATGGGAAGGGCGTACAGTGTTTGCACTGCATATTGAAATATGATTGTCTGATGTACAATTGAGTTGGAAACTGAATGGCTGTTGTTTTTATCAGTGGAACACAATTTTTACTTGAAAAAACATTGAAGACTGACAAAGAGCTAGCTGGTCTTTCTGATTTTTCATACTTAAGTGTTTGGCAGACATTTTCTCAAAAATAAGCCAATTGCTTCAAGAAAAACAACTGGCAATTGTTGGTTTTTTTTTTTTTTTAAGTCACATAAACTTTTATTGGAAACAAACAAGCTGCAGCAAAGTGACACTCAGTGCACGCTTCCCAGTGGGCGAGGTGGGGGTACAGGTGGGCACCAAGAGCGGCCCAAGCCAGGGAGGACGACTGTCAGGCCTGCTTGCTGGGTCTCAGGCCCTTCGGGCTGGAGTGTGCAGGCTCAGGGTACAAAACACAAAAATAAACTGTGGTCCAGCGGTCCCTGCCTCAGTCAGTTCGTTTGGGCAGGGCAGTGGCTATTCCCACCAGGCCCCGTGCTGTCTGTCCAGTCCAGCCACAATGTGGGCAGCAGAGCCTGTGGGATGAGTGGCCGTCCATAGGCTGGAACCAAAGGGCTAGGTGGGCAGCGCTGGGGCTGGAGCTGTGCCAGGGTCTGGCCAGCAGCTGGGGAGGCCCTTGGGGCCCCTCAGGTGGGCAAGTCCAGGCACTAGTTGATGCTGGATGAAGCTGGGCCCCTGCTTCTCCTCCTCACATACAGGTCACCGGGACTCTGTCCTCCATGGGGCTGGTCTCCTCGGATCTGCCCTCACTGCCTCCATCTCTGAGTTCCTCCTCCTCCTCCCCCAGCTCCATGTCCAATTCATTGCCTGCCTCCGAGGGTGTGTACCTGGATCCACTGATGGAGCGACAGCTGAAGAAAACAATCCGCTTAAGCTGCTTGTTGTAGAAGTAGTTAAAGGACCAGAGGCTGCCATCTTCCCCAAAGGGGTCCAAGTCCAAGTCCAGGTTGTAGCTGTAGATGTCACACTCGGCCAGGCAGATGTCCTTGTCCACTGCATTCCACAGCTGTGGCTTTAGGGCCTTGACGTGCTCCCGCACAGCTGAGAACAGACTGCAGTTGACCGCATTCACCACCCAGCTGAGACTGGGCTCCCGGCTGAACTCGTGGCTTCGGGCCATGCTGAAGTCTCTTTGGGGCGGAAGGACTTGTTGAGTGTGGCGATCAGGTAGAAGATCGTCTTGCGGCTGCACGTGTCGCTGAGGGGGCCCTCATCCTCGCCACCCTGGCTCTTGCTCCGTCTGCTGGGGCTGAGGCCCGAGGTCTGGGGTGGAGACAGGGCCTCCAGCACGTGTGGCTGGCCTTGCTGGCAGAACTGCTTGAACATGTGCTTGTCATCTCCCGCCATCTTACAGGAGTAGCTCTCGATCCTGCCAATGATGTGGGCATCTCCAGTCTCCACGGTCAGCTGTGAGTTGATGGCCTCGAAGCTCGAGTTCTCCAACAGCTTCATGTCCTTGGGGAGGGCGTCCTGTGCTCCGAGGGGCTCGTGCTGCCTTGCTTGCTGCTCGACGCTCTCTCTGGCCGGGCAGAGCCATGCCGGGTCAGGTCGGTTAGTGTTGATTCGAGTGAGAAGGTGGGGCTTGCT